ACAACGGCCGCTGTCAAGTTATGTGCTGCAACGATTGCTTCGTTCTTCCGCTTTTCTACAAAAAAAAAAAAACTAAAATGGCACTAAAATGGCATTTTTCCGTCCCTCGATTTTTTCATCTCTAAGAAAAAAGAAAATTTGTTGAGAAGCTAAAACAAAATTGAAAAAATATTTTTCCAGGAAAAAAGCTGGAAAAAAGCCAGGAAAAAATTTTCCTAATTTTAGGTTTTGCCATAATGTAAAATTTACCGGAAAAAAGTCGGAGAAAGTTGACAATATGGAAAGCAGGCTGTTTTTTTTAAACGTCTTCAGTACCAAAGCAACAGAGTCCTTCGAAAGTCCTTAGAGCTAGTTCACCTTTTAATTCCTACCAATCTACCTCATATTTATTGTTGGGTCCGACAGTTGAGTTGACGACGACGAATACAGGGTAGTTAACGCAGAAGAATGAGTTAATTTATCCACAACCCAATATTAGCCAACGAACAACAAACCAACAAAAGCAAGGGTATTTATACAGGGAGTAAAGCACAATAAAAAAACACTAAACGACGCAACCCGATCTATATGGAGTCACAAAGAACATTACGGAAAATGCTGCACAACAACCTACAATAGAGATCTCCCTAGAACTTCCGAAAATCATGATCAAAGATCATCGAGGTCTCAACAGTTATCATTTTCACAAACCTTTCTTTTAACGCTCAAACAACCCAAACCTATAGTGTATTACGCTTATAAGAGAGTAAAGATGGAACTGGAGAGGAACCGATCGAGCAGCGAAAATAAAACTTTGGTGATTTTCACCCAAAACGGTACCTCTTTCCATTTTTGCTTCATTTCCTTAAGTATAACACTTTTTTACCTTTCAAGATTTAGTTCTTAGGTTAAATTTTCAAGATATTCGTGCAGTTTTGCACTTCTCCACCCAATTTTAGTGCCAGTTTTGCGTTATTTCTTAGAAGATTGGGGCCTGGAATTTTTGACTTTGACTCAATTTTAATTGCTTCTTATGCAAGCGATTTAACACTCTCCTAGATTTACGGGATATATTTTTGTTCGAGACATTTTTCTGATTCAACCTGTGAGGAAGCTGCACTAACCTTGTAATTCTCGTCGTACTTGTTGAGCAGCATTATGCTCCTTGACCATTCTCGCCAACATGTTTTCTGCCTGGAAGCCACGACTTCTCCCTATCAAAGGAATCACAGTTCCGCTGCAATCACAATTAAAACTTCATCCAGCATCACCGAAGGTTCCCCCGCATTTGTTCGTCCTTGAATTATTAATTAGCACAATAATGAATGTCATCAAATTAGCACAGCAAGGGACTACACTGCCTCGGGATTTCTCCGCATAAGTGGAATGAATTGCAAAGGAGTCTGTTCGGCGACCAACACAGACTGCATCTCTGTTTTCTCTTTCTTTCGCTTGTCCGTCTTGCAAATTAGTCACATGACTGTTCAGTACATGGCGGGTAGGAGGCTGTACTGATGATTCGCGATCCTACGCGGATGCAAAATTCGGTCTGTGTTCACAGCTAAGGGATGAGATACAGACAGACTGCATCGTAAAATGTCTTCTTACACACGACACTGAATCCAGCCCCTCTATTCTACTATTTTCGAAGATGGGGGATAGGGAGGGGTTTTTACGCGGTTTGTTTAATACTTTTACTCTGTATAACTGGCGTCCTGTTATAGAACAATTCAGTTTGGTTTGCCAACCAATAAAGTGATCATTTGGGGTAGGAAGTAGGATGCTATCAGTCCGCCAACTCAGTGATTCGCATATTCACAGGCATCAATCCCATGCTAAGAATGCTTGCACCTGGATTAGTGAAACTGGCAAAAAGTGACTAGAAATATGAAGAAAAAAAACCTACGCTTTCCTGACTGTGAATTTCACATAAAAGAGTATCTCTTTTCGTACTTACTGCCTTATTTCGCTAACTGCATCACCAAATCCTTGCGAGATCATGATTTAAGAAAATTTGTTTTATTATAAAAAGGAAACAAATTCAGTGGAAAGATTGAAAAAAGAATGATAAATTTAAACAGGAATGTTTCAGTCCATTAAGTCGTGATCCGCAAAGGGAATAACGGAGCGGAGGAATAAGACAGTCGAGGAGGGAAGTTGGATTTTTGCACAATAGAGTCTGATGATTTGAGAAATCCCAATATGACCACTTCCACAATGTTTTCCTGGAGACGATGCCCATTACCAAGGGGTCAAATTATAGGCGACACATTCAGTATTTTCCGCTGAAATGACGGAAAAAGCAGAGAATGAACGGTAATAGGTTAATTATCAGCAGCTGCTAATACAGTTCCAGCCACAGTAACAACAGAAGGACCTTCAGCAATAATGCAGAAAGACGAAGAAACAACAGCTGATTGAAGTATTTCTGTCCCAGTCAAATATTTTTCTCAAGAACAAAAATACCTGAAGAAATCCACTGACCCGTGAAGCACCTCATCGCAGTCTGAGCAGTAAGCAGCGTCCCAGGAGATATGATGGTGCGCAACAAAGGGAGGAGAGATATGATCTCGTAACGGCTTTAAGCCAAGTGTTTCTAGCAACAAAAACTGAGCTGGTAATATCTTTTTCAGAAGAAAAAACGAAAAAGCAGCAGACTGTCTATCAGTCGATTAGCCCTTTGTCAAGACAAATGGAGAAATCAGAAGCTGAAACGCTGGGGAAACCCTGTTATCCCAAGCATTCAAAGTATTTGTCCTCAAATTGGTGTTTATATGCCGTGTTGAAAAAAAATCTGCAAAAAAAGTGAAACGAAATTTTATCAGTTTCTAAGTGAGATGTTCGAGAATTTACACATATAAACAGTACACAGTGCATTTCATAAGTAACATTCGGAGCAATTTACACACTCGCGAAACAAAGGGAAAATATTTCCTCTTTTTTTTTTCAAGTCAAAAAATCACACATGAAATATGAATACACCATCACACACATGTGCACACACACCCATACACATACACGTACACAC